TTGCACATGTATTTTGAGCTTATTCACTGTAGGAGAGTGTCCTGATAAGGGAAGCATGTTTAAGAAAGATAATAAAAAAATACATATAAGGCTGTACAGAATTAATCAAAGAATGGAAAAAAAAGTAAGGTTTCATCCTTCAGGGTATAAAGCAGCCACTTAAACTTCCTAGTTCTTTCCGTTCATTCCTCAATACACGAGGCTACTTTACCTCCCTTTTCAAGCATTACTATAGCCACTGACAGACTCAAGGTAGTGGGATGGATTGTAATTAATTCCCAATTCTGTGCTTGTAAAAGTGTAATGTTTTTCATCCTTCATTATGATCTTTTAAGTCCAACAGACTGTAGATTAGAGTTTACCAGTCACGTAGTAAGGCTCATTTGAAAACCACCGTAAGTGGATCCAATTACTGCGTAACTAGGTTTTGACAACTATTCTTTCCACTGACTTTTAGAGAACAAAATCTATGCTGTGAATACTGTAATGGAAAAATTAATTCCAAGATGGAAAGGACTATTAAACCATATTGTGTACATGACATGAAAAAACAGCCAACAGCCAGATTATATTAGCTGTCACAAGGCAATCTTGACTGAAAGTACTGTTCACTGCTTTTCTGAACTTAGTGCTACCTAAAGCAAAGCCGCTATTTCCATACTTATCGTTTAATAGCTTCTGACCTTAGTTCTCCCCTCTGTTCTTTCACTGAAGTTACATCCTCGCTCCGGGGCCAGCAGGTACCACGCTCTCAGGTATGTGCATTATTCCACTAGCAGCGCTGGGTGTTGGGCTACAGTTCTCTGCTTCCTCAGAAATGAATCTGCATCTCAAGCTATTGACTGTTTGAATGGAAAGCGTTGTAATCCCTAGAGGGCTTGTCTGCACTAACGGAACTTGCCCTGCATACAAACAAAAGCACTAGGATAACATTTTTCAAAAAGCAATTTCAAACACACAAAAAATGTGAAGAGCTCCATGCATCTTTTAATACAGGTTTATTGTTAAGCTGAAACCTTGTCTGACAAGTGTCAGCCCTGAGCAACTTTTGTTAAAAAAAACAAAAATACCCAAACAAAACAAAAACAGCTCAGAGAGTTGACTACAGACTTTTACGGGAAGTAACTGATGGATGCCTCAACTCCTGTAATTAAACTCCCTCTGGAGGTTTATATAAGCAGCAGAAATGAAAAAAAGACTCCCCTTTTCTGAGGAGGGATATTCAGAATAGACTGTAGACGCACAAAGGCACAAGAAACAGGTCTCACTGTACTCCTGAAAGATCCACGATTATATGAGCAATGCACCCACCTTATCATCTCAAAGGAAACACAGGATCCCAGGCAGCTGTTCTTCATCCATGAGTAGATTACAGCTTCCATAGGCATTATAAGGCACACGCTTAGGCTTTTCATAATTCTTTATGAGTAAAAGTCATGAACTTCAATGAACAAGTACTTATTTTTCAATGTTGTGCTTTAAATTTAAGATGCCAGAAAGTCAGAGGCTTAGAAACATCTATTGGGGTTATTCCTGTCCGATCTTTCTATTGCACTGGAACCATCCAAGTACCCGTAACTACATTCAAACCGTACACTTCAAGGTATTTCATTAATGAGGTGCAGTGCTTAGTCACAAAGTTAATTGATTAGACTTATTTCTGTGACTGGAGTGGAAACGCTAAAAGATAAGATGTGGAGGAAGAATCAGCTAAGCCTTTGAGCCACAAACAGGCCTCATCCCTTTGATGAGAAGTGTCAGATTAATCTTCATAAATGGTCATAATTACTTGTGCCTGGAGCTCAGCCAAGTCATTCCAAATAAAAATTAAATTATACAACTGATTGCATGTTCAGTCTTATCTCTGGAGCGTTAGAACCACCACAGCCCTACAGAAGCAGGCAGACATTTACTATATGCTTATAACAGCGTAAAAGACATTTGTCTAAATATTGCATAGGCTAATCTAGTATTTATTGATTATATTTTTCCTTAACTAATAGTTTCACTAAAGCTTGCTTACACAGACTGTCACATTTATTGTTAGACACTTAGTTTCTTTCTTCATTACACTCATTTTAGCTATAATTAACAGACCCATATCAGATGGGAAATTTATGAATGCTGTTGAAAAATTTTAGATCTTGGGGAAAAAAACTAGTGAAATTAATTAAGTTCACTTACCGGAAAAGGGATAAGTACACAGACACCAAAGCTGATGACATCCAACAACAGAAGCAACACTCCTCTTGGAAGTTCTGAGAATAGTACTAGTCCTTCAGAAGAAAGAACACTTCTAAAAGTAAAATCTTCATAACTCTAGTAGAATACTACTTAGCGGGCACAACCCACTTCTCTCCTGTGATTGTATATGCTTTGGAAATTAATGAAATAAGCATGAAACACTACAGATTCATCCCTGCATCAGAAGTGTATGACTAAACCAGCATACGTTCACAAAAGAAGTTATTTGGTCCCTATATGTTCCTTATGCAGCTTATACCACCTTAATATTAGGCCTTTTTAGCTGGTTCTAAATGGGATGTTCCAGAAACATAGCACATGGAGCTTTTAAAACAAAGTCAGAAAGGGAAACTAGCTTTTCCTCATATGAGGTGTTGCTTACTTATTTTCTGTAGTTATTCCAATTCTAAATCATACTAAGTAATACAGTAGCTGAAGCATCTCCACTGATTTACCTTAGCAAAGACAGGACAGCTTGCATACTGCTACATTATCTGACAAAACTAATAGGATTCCACTGTGTATTTAGGAAATAAAGGCTAAAGAACAAAATCTTTATAGTATAATTTTATTCACCTAGAAACAAAGGGTCAAAAGCCACAGCATGGAAGTTAATTTTATTTTGTAAACTCATTAAAAAAAGATGTCCATGTACAAAAGAAGGACATTTTAACAACGTAAATGCAGACAAAGGAAACTATAAAAATTCCACACATTAATAAAAAGTTGAGTTTTTATTTTCTTTCTGCATAATTCCTTGCATCTTCCACAACAGTCTGCACACAATCTTAAGTACAATTGTTAGGCTCATTAAAATTCAAGAGGCTGAACATAAAACAATTTGCTCTGCTATAGGAATGTGTTGCTGAAAGACACAAACCCTGTGGCATGTTAGCTAGAAGTAAGACGCAAGACTGAAGGAACTGGCTGAAAGGCTTCAAATTATTATTGCGCATTTATCTTCTGAGAATTCAATCTCAGTTTTCTTTCTGCAAATATTTAGAATATTCCTTAGGGAAGTAACAGCTTTAGACTGAACAGTGCTTTGTCAAAAGATGTACGTTTCCGTATTGCCCCAATATATCTAATGCAGATTCAAAAATAAAAACATTTCTGAAGTAAAACCATTTCAGTCCCAACAAGTGTTTATTGTGTGCCAAAACTTACAGCAGCTGTATGACAAGCTACTGTGACACACAATGCAGTCTTCAGTGTTGGATACTCTTGACTGCATGTTTGGACTTCCATCCTTGAGACACTGCCAGTAAGAGGTCAATTATAAAACTACATTTCTTTTTAAGCTGAGCTAATCTGCAATTTAATTTGTCCCTGTTTCTCCCAAAAAATGACTCTCAGGAGTGAAAATTTATTCTTGTAATCGCTATTCGAGGTTTCTGTAAAATGTTTGCTTTCCTGTGTCCTCAATGTAGGATTCAGACTGTTGAGTGTTTCTCGAGATCCACTGTTCTTCAATAAGCAGAGTTTTTCAGTGAGGACCAATCCACATCACATGTGACTCGTTATACTCATTTTCCACATATAAGTGTCCCAACTTTCAAGAGTTAAGTAAACATCTCACGATTTAACAGAGAGTAACTTGAATGCCTAGAGTTACTACACTTCCAAGATTTGTGTTTGTCCTCCGCCAGGACGTAGTGCAAGAAAAGAGCCCCACCAGCATAAGGCACTTACCTACGTTACACGAGAGGGGGCAGGGGCAAGAACCCTTGTAACATGCAAGTCTAGTAAGAGTCTCACTGGAGCAAACATCAGATCTCGTAGACTGAAGGTGCGCTGCCATTTCTTTGTGTGCTGCTGTAATAAAGTCTGCTTTTTAACAGATATCAGATTCTTCCATTGGCAGCCACTTCATTAACCTTCGATTTTTGATGATCGTATTTCACAGAAACAATAAGGAAAAGCAAGAGGGTTGCTCCTTGGATAGCAGCCAGCAAAAAAAAATAATAGTTTAATTGGCAGCCATTAATATTACCTGGAAAGAATTGGGGAGAAAAAATAAACAATAATAAAGATTATACAAATAAAAATGTCAATCCCTTCGAACTTAAGTGTGAGGACTTTTCTGCAAAATATGAGCAAAACCAAACCAAATCACATTTCCATCCGACAGCATAGTTTCATTTTTAATTATCCAGAGCAAAAGACGGAACCTCTGAGGAAGATGCACACAGCACAAGGGTCGCTTTCTTTTGTGCTTCAATGCCTTAAACCAAATTAGGTCCCTGAGGAAGCTGATACGCTGTTACTGCACGATTTCTTTCTTACAAAAAATTGCTGGAAGCTCCACCTACCACTGTAAGAACTTTGTGCGAAGACTACACACATATAGCAGTGGGCACATTTCATGAGAGTCAAAACAATTTTTAAAAGGCTAATAGGCTAATAATGCTCCTTTCTCCCCTCCGCCCCTCCCCCCCCCTTTTTTTTAAGTCTGGTTTCTTATACTGCAAAATTGCAATGCTTTGCTGACTTCAGATGAAACAGCTAAAAACCTCAATGTGTATTTTCATCTATGATTTACTTTCTTCATAATGTAAGTAACAGAGATCACTTATAAATGTTTGAGGAGACAACTCAATTCAAAAGCAAAAAAAGAAAGCATCCCTGTGTTGTGCGCACTAAATGGATTTGAAAAAGAAATTTCTGCAGATAAAGCCCTGGACTGTAAACTGCTCAGAAACAGCTCCCAGTGAAATGCAGCATTCAGGATCGAAGCAAAGCCACTCTCACACAGGCTAGTAACTTAAAGCCTTCACCATCTTCACTAGGTATGCTCTTAAGGAGCCTGAAGAACACAGTGAAGTGATAAGGCTTCAGTCAAGGCAAAAAAGAAAGTCTCCTACGTTTTACAGCTTAATTGAAATAGGTCATAGTATGATTTGTTTTGTACTATATACCCTAGAAAGTCCTCTCCAGTGTCTTTTTCGGCCCTGCTTAATGCTCTATGGCTTCTCTGCATCTGGAGGCCTGTACCTCCCTTCTCTGCTAAGTCAAGGATAAAATAAAAAGGATCAAAAAACAAATGCTATTAAGGAAAAAGTTTGGCAAGTCTGTAGATATAAAGAAAGCAATTACTGAAATTTTCTCTCAGCCTTCTTTCAGAACAAAGTTTAGAATTCATGAAACCATGGGTGGTTTCTTTTTGCTTCAATTCACCTTCAACACTCCTTCAAAGTTGTTATAAATTAGCGATTTGTACCACATTAAATAATCTTAAATTAGGAAAGCTCATTTCTAAAACATTATTCCTCTACTAAGAAATATGCACTAACTATTGCTGTACTTCCAAGAACAATATATTGTGGCTCTTTTTCAACATGCCACATGAGCCACAGCCAACTGGACCATTCTGGTTATCCAAAAGGTTAGAAAGCGTAAAAGTAGTGAAGTATACATCGATCTCGACAAGCTGTTTATGCAGCATGCCTATAAAGGTTCAGATTAGATTAATTACTGAAACTTAAGATTCAATTAAATGTACTTATAGTAAAAGGCAGTAAAATTAAACTGAGTCTTTCCTTGACATTTAAAATACAATATACATGTGAATCTCCATTTCAAGAGCAGACATGTTTAAAGAGTAGTAATTATCTTTTATGAGATGGAATAGTAAACCCATGAAATCTCAGTTTTTGTCAGAGAAATAACAGTCATTTCAATGGCATCAACCAACACTGAAATACCAGCAGAGAGTGAACTTTCTCAGTCGATTTTGGAGGCAGTCAGTTCCCTCAAATGATACCATGAGTTAGCATAAATAGCAGAAACTTGGTGCACGTGTGTATAGTCATTATACGGCATTTGATGAAAAATTCAGAAGTCATTCACTCATAAATCCTCCTCCGTACAATTCCTGCCCTGGAAGGCTTAAGTAAATTTTAGATGTGAACATGAGAACTTTCAATAATGTTATACCAAATGAAAGTTGAGTTATAAACAGTTACGGATATAAACAGTTAAAACAGTAGCTACCATGGATGCTACAAATCAAAATCACCCACTGAGTGCTTCAATCTTCAGCCAGACGTATACCTGCTGAGAAGGCTCGATTGTAGATCGAGTCTTTGGCCTAAGAAAGGTAGAAATATCCAGTTCTGACAGCTGCCCAAAGGACAATCCACTGAGCTGAGTAGCTTATTCAAAACAGATGACCAATGAGTCATGACAGGTAACATCATCCAGTTCTAGCCAACTCTGGATATATTTAGCACAACCTAAATATTTTACAGAGAAAATATTCGGCACTGTCTTCTCTTAGGCTGCTTCAGGAAATACAGGCAAGAGGCTAAAAAAGCACCCTCAAAAATCACATATATTAACTTGTATGAAATTGTTATCCTCCTATTGAGCCCTTATCTACTGAATTATCTTATAGAGAATTGCAGAAAACGATGCTCTTCTAATTTTGAAATTAACTGGGGGGAAAAAAGTCAACATGATTAAATTTTCATTTGTTGAGGACACTTCCATAAAGTTAACGCTATTTGTCATCTTTTGCAGTTTTTTAAAGAAAAGACTTATAAACCAAAGATGACAACTCGCGGCATATGTACTGTTCGAGACAACGTTACTTTTTGGTAGCATGCAAATCAAGCTTAAATGGCAATTTCTCTCCTATCAAATATAAAGTAAGTTTAGGCTGCCCTTTTAAGCCCTGTGTACACAGTAGGTCTAGCACACATTTTAAGAACTTTTCATGCTCCTTCTGGTAGAACTAATTAGCCCATTGATGACGGTATGATTTTCTGATATTCCCAAGATGCCACCTACTGGTGCCAATAATTATTTTTAACTTCAACTGGCAATACAAAGCAGGTGACACATTGGACTTGTTTTAAGAGTATAAATAGCTAGCAGACAGAAATGCAGAATTAACTCCTGGTAATTTCAACAGTCTCTTGAAACTAGGAAGCTGAATAATCACTGAGAGATCAGTACATTTTACTCCTCCTAACTGCAGAAAGTAATTTCAGTACTTTATGAAATACATTCTTCTTCCATACATTTTTAAAATATTTTTTACTAAAATACAAAAATTCGTAAGTGATTTCTAGTGATGAAATGCAGTAAAAGCTGAGCAGGTAACTGACAGGTCTTACAGATATTTCCCATGCTTTCATGAGGGCAATGTATCATTTTGCATAGTCACATTACTGCATACGTATATGCAAGATGAAACTTTGTCTTTAACAAAACAGTAGACAAATTTATATTTTTAAAATAATAACTGTGCTAAGAATCAACAGTCCCACATGCTTGATGCTTAACTGCTTCTGAAGGAAGCCTTCAACTTTACAGACCATGAATACACTGCAAATAACTTACCAAGATCTGTGTGATTACTCATCCAGCCAATTTCTTTAATAGACACCAGTGCCAACAATCCAGAGCCAACAAATGATCCAATCCCCGAAAAGAAAAAAAACAGCCCCATAATAGCACTCTGCATGGATTTGGGAGCAGCTGAATATGCAAATTCTAGGCCTGTATTAAAAGATTAAAATAAAATGCTATTGGAAGATCCATGAAACAATAGCAGTTCCTTCTAGTTTAGTGTATAGAAGTTACAGATGTATACTACCACTGGTATGTTAAAGACCTGAAACTAGCCTTGGATTTCAGGAGTCAGGGAATTGAGGTAGTGAATCCCTATCATTTCCCAGTTCCCTCTAATTGCTTTATGAACCCTGTTAAAGGTCATCAACATATCAACCCATTAAATGGACAACACTTGAGACAAGCACTTTGATCTGATTAATATTACATGTGTAAAATCAAGAAATCTTCTGAGGCAGCATATTCAATTTTCCGTCTAAAATTATCCTCAAAGAAATATATTAAACTAACTCTAACCTGGCAAGTTCCATGTTCCTCATGTCACTCGTTTCTCTATTTCCTGTCTTGTGCAGTATCTACAAAGCACCTGGCATTCCCTGCTGAGAACAAAGTACTTGGAAACTGAAGGTCACTCTTGCATTGACTACGAACATTTATTTCTCACAGACTCAGTGCCTGTATCTCTGAATGTGCAGACAGAGAAATTAATTGTAGCTGGAAAGGCAGTAATTAGTTTTAATTTCATTTTGATCTAGAATTCTCTGAGCTCATTGCTTGCTGGCCTATTATTTTTAAGTCTTGTAGAAATGGGACTTCAACTTTAAACTATCCTTACTTAAACGTTGACGAATAAACCCAAGAAAAACATACCAGTGACATCAATTTGAAACTCTGCGCCACTGAATTTTAGTACCAACAGAAGACACTGGGTTAGGCTCTGCCTTGCAAAGACTAATGTCCATGATTAACTCTCCTTTTTAGAATAAAACTCCTGTCAGAAATCAAATGGGATTATTCACGAGAGACAGTCAGATACATTCTTTGCAGAGCTTTTTCTCTGACAGGTGAAATGCTTGTTTCAAAACAGTCTGCTTCTTACTGAAAATTAATGCTACCGCATCTAACATTCTTCTTGGCAAAGAAAGCATTATAGACCTGAAAATGGCACAAATCTTATGTCTTGCATAATGAAGGTATGCTTTATTTTCACCATTACTGGTATTTGACTTTTGCTACTTTGCATTTCTTTTCAAGAACAGGCTTAACACTTCAAGCCAGAGAGGTCAGTTTGCCTGTGGTGAGGGAGGAACTTTGTTCTTGTGAAAGAAACAGAACTATGCTCTCACTGATTTAACGGCATTCTGCACGGCCACCTGAGAAATCGCTGATAACCAACACTCTGCTTCTCTTTTCCTTTACAAAACACATTAGAGTGGGCCAACAGCAACCTGTCTGTGTTTCTAGAAGGGAACTGAAACATTCTTTGTGCAGCTCAGCTGTGTGGGTTCCTGTAAATTCAAACTGTAATGAGCGAATGCTGCAGAGATGGAGAGACATCTGCAAATGGAGAAGGGAGCGTGGGGGTGAAATTACATTTATGTTGAGAATTTAAAACTCAATTTTTTTTCCTAGGCTTTGTCACTAATACAAAAATTGAGATTTGTCTAGGAGTATTTATCTGGCCAATCTCACTTAAAGAAAAAAAAGTATTTTCATCTTGGGACACAGTAGCTTGGTTTTTAACGTTTTGTTAAGTTGCATAGCTGCCTCGAGTCTCCAGGGTATCTGTCACATTTTGGTCACCAGGCTTTTGCACATTTTGTACAAGTCAAGCTCAGGTATATCACAGGGAAGGACCTGGCCCATTTTCTCTCTTGTTCCTTTTACAGATATATTGGATGCGAGTGCTACTGCTGCTACTGTTTTGAGTCTTAAGACTCAAAACAAAAACCAAAATGGGTGGAACACTGCGCTTTTTGCAACAAAATAAGGCACGTTTCTAAACTTGAATAATGTTTCCAGCAACTCTAATATTTAATCTGGTATAAAGAATATACAATCTGTTCTTTGCCTTCAGAGATATTTCTGCCTGCTGGCCACCATTGATAACAATTTCACGCTACCTCAAACAAGCAGTTTTGAAATTGAACCCTCTAGTTGGTGTTGTCATGTGAGATTACGATTCCCAGTTAAATAAGGTGCTTTAAGAGGATTGACAGAATAACACAAAAGATTAATGCAATGTGTGTCATCTTTTTAAAGGTACCTCAAGTGTAACTAATGTGGCTCAATAAGAATATGCTTAGTTTTACAGTAAACAAAAAAAACAAACTTATGCTTCTGGTCCCTTTTTGTCCACAATAAACATTTCCAAATCACTATAGTTTTGTAACCATTAACAATCTGCTTATTTTAAAGCTGAATTTCATAGCACAATAGATGCCTTTATCAACTTTTAATATCAAATTGGTAAAGTATACACTATTAAGTCTTGAGAGGCCTTCTTAAAAGATACTGAGAATTCAGTTTAGATAACAATCAGAAGGTAGGAGAAAAGCTTTGTAAAACAAATCATACAAAAGTGTAATACAAAAAGCAATTAAGATCTGCATAGAATTTCTGGTTCAAAGAATAGAAGCATTTGCATTTTTCCTAACATTGACCAACAGTTTTTGAAGTTATAAAGCTGTTGGTACCGACCCAGCAAGTGCAGAACAGCAGTGTATTCATGTCAGAATAGTGTAAGCCTTAAAGACTTACTTCTCATGAAGAAGACCACTAAAGCAGTTGAAAAAAACAACCCTCAGTTTGGAATTCAACAAACAGAGACTGTACCAAGTCCTTGACCTTTCCACAAGCTGCAGATAGGTTTGTTATTTTTTCCTTGCGAACACCTATAAACTAGTAACAGTGACTGACAGAGAAATAAGAATGTGTAAGAGCAAAGAAATGTATTTATTTTTGCATGAACACTTGGATTTCTGGTGAGCCATCTATTTATCTGAGTTCAGATTTAACTGGCACAATCCCTAAAGTTGTAACTAAAGGTAAGTAGATTTTATTTTTTTGATAAAAATGATAAATACATCCTTAGTTTTAATAAGTAACTCAATTAAGCAAGACTTCCATCTTCAGATTTTTATGTGTTAGGATTTATGATGGCTACTATCCACACACAATGAAATGTACTTAATATAGGGCAGGAACGACTATGCAGATACATCAGCAGCATTTTCACTTGTTTAATCCTAGTAAACCAGTGTTAGGCATACCACAGTGACAACAGATAAATTGCCTGTGCTTTCTTCCTGCTAATGAGCCCCGCATGTATATGAAACAGACCAGAAAATAAGATTTTATAGTCCTATTCACCCTCTCCTCCCACTTCACTTTCAGCTTAAAAATCAATATGATCACACAGCTGTCCACCACATCACACAGAACAGTATTAAGAAATTTAAGATCTCTTGCATTTGTTCAAGGGCAAGATTTGAACAGTTTCAGTTTGCCTATTATCACATTGAAGTACAAAAACACTCATCTATAAATAAAGCAGATAAAATTCTATAAAAAATAGCTACTTCATTATTAATATTCACAAAAAATAGTTTAGATTGTGTCACATAACTTTTCTTATTTGAGAGAGGTAAAAACTCAAGTAACTTGAATTTAAATTGGTGATATATCTTTCTAAAGATGGTTTATTTCTTCCTTTTTCCCTCAGAAAGGTGTTTCCATTTACTAATTGATTTTCTAAACTGAGCTCACTTTTTAAGCCAAAAAAAATACAAAGCACAAATTTTATTTGCGATTCAGAGGAAATAATACTGCATTAAAACTATCCTTTAAAATATAATATTGAAAGACTGTATTGTTTTCCATTAGGGCTTGCAAATATCCAATACTAACTGGATGACACGCAAATATTTTAAGTGTTGTTCTGCTTGAAATTCAGTCCTGAAAACACATTCTCATATAACCAATTTTCAACTGTGAGAGACAATTGTGTGCTTTACCACTTATATAATATTGTATTTAGGAACATTAGAGCTTATTTATAATGATTTGAAAAGAAAATATTTCTCTTGTAAGAATCCATCATTTATGATAGATATGAAAGCAGATTTAAAACACACAAAGACTCTTACCTGCTATACTTGCAAATATTTCACTGAATCCAATCAGCACATATTGAGGAATCTGCCACCATATTGGCAAATCTGCAGCATAGTATGTAACATTTCCAATTGTCTGATTAATTGTTTTAACCTTTACAATTTTCAGTCTGTTGCTTTCCAGAATTCCTACATGGAGGAGGGGGAAAAAAAAGATTGACCTAAGATGCAAACACTGTTTCTTCATACTGAGAATTAAATTAGGATTCAGTCCTGCATTGCAATCACAAAGTATAAAATAGGAATATGTATTTCCTTATTTCCTAACATACAGCACTTCATACTATTTTTGCTATTGTTATTTCAAGACATACAGTCCTTCTGCCATAGAATTAGTGATTATATTCTCATTCAGTAGCAATAATTATACAAATACTTAACCCTTTTCCAGATGGATTAGCTGAGAGCTCTCCAACTGTGTTGGTTTTTTTTAAAGGCAATCTCATTTTCACAAACTACTGCTTCGTAGTGTTGAACCATTGCATTTGCCACCATAGTATTAATAAATTAGAAACTATTTTGTTTATGGAAATGGCTACGCTAATCCTGTAGAACTACGAAAAGCCTCCATGAATATGATCATTACATTTATATGACATTTATCATCCCAAGAGATCCAAAAGCTCATTAGAGCTTGACTTACAAGCAATACATTGCATAGGAAGTACTTCATGTAGAATGAAAAATAGACAGGATAGTGTAAAATATAACCATTTTTAGCTTGCTCAATACAACACTTTAGAGCAGAAAGTGAATAACAAATAATGCTGTAGGGTTTTTGTTGAAGTCATCCAGATTAAAGTATTTGCCTCACTGTTACATCAAATGCACAGAATAGCTAATAGTTAATAAAACTCCCCACTTCACCCAGAAAGAACTCTCAATATCCTTGGAAATAAGGTGGATTTATTCATCATCAATTCAGGGGAGCAGGGCTGAGTCAATGACTCTACTTCCTATAATATGTATTACACACACGTGGCCTCCCATTTAGTGCCTGCCAGTTTTGGTCTCATTCTACTTATTAAACCAAGGTCGAACCTAATCTTGGGGCACAAAGTATCACTCCTGTTAAAAAAAAAAGAAGTACAAGGCTTAGATGACAGACACGATGCTTCATGGATATCATACCATGTATAAGTCATTACTCCTGCTTCCTCACTTCTAGCAGTTTCTTTCCTATAGGCAGCTGAAGGATGACATGGACATTTAATATAATGTTGACTGAAGCTATTGACAGCACTTTTCATATAAACAAGCACAAGCAATTTGTAATGAACAATATAATACCTGTTCTCCTATTTCTGCCCAAATCTGTGACATATAAACCTCAAGGGGGCCAACCAGATCACTATCTCCCTGCTAAGTGACAGTGTTTTCACGGGAAATGACTGATGTTCGCCAAAACCACCTTATGCCACGACATGCAGTTTCTTATTAGTCCTGGTCATGGCAAGAGACCCAGCCTGTGAAGAAAGCATGGGGAAAGCTCCCTGTAGTCCCTATATATAGTCTGTAGGTGAGGCTGTAACTAAACAAGAACTTTTAGGAATCAAGTTTTGTATTTCATCATTGTAGGGAGTCAGAGCCAGAGCTCTCAAAACCAGACTGAGGGAGCACACATTAAGTGACTTATGAAGTACTTTGAAAAGGATGGAAAGCTGCATTTGTATAATCCACCTTTATTCATTTACAGCAGTTCAGAATCTATGCAGGTATGAAATCTTGCAATAGCTCTACAGTCTAATCTTCTGAGACACAAGAGTTGTAGAGGGAAAACAGGCTAGAATTACTCAAGTTTGTTTAAATACTACCTTGAGACCGCAAAATGTTTCTTAAAAATGGTGTTTTCCTTAATAACAGCTGCTGTTGACTGTTCTGAACTTAGTACCTCTTAGTGCCAGGCCACCACATTCTCTCTACCTTCCTCATTTCTTTTTCAAGTGGCCACTTACCCATCTTAAGTATCCTTACAGCCACCTCAGTGCCCTCTGAACTATGAAGAGCTGATGTAATTAAAATAAAGCTGGATATCTTGATGTTTTAGTTTTAATATAGCTGACAAACATTTTAGGGTGGAACTTGATTAAAATGTAAACAGTACAGTCAGCTAAGAACTCAGATATAATAATTTCATTCATACACATTCAACACAAAAGCATTGCACCTCAAAACATGTAGTGATCCTTAATGTGTTTGATACTCTTCACAACATAAGCAGAATTAGGAGGCCTTTAGCCACTACCATATACCAAACTTTGCCATAAATTTATCTTCAAAGCTGAGTACTTCGAAATCTAGTGATTTCTTCTTAGCCTTTGATAGACAAGCTTCAAGTTTAATCTTACAGTTTTAGTAGTTAAAAAAATCTTAAGTTCTTGTTATAATTGTTTAAACTCTATAAATGAAGTAGATTTTCCAGTTGAATAACCTTAAATACTGCTGCTCAGAAATTACGATAAAATGCATGAAGCACAGCAGATGTTCATTAAATCTAATCAAGTTGTATTCTCACACAGTTTATAAGATATTTAAAATAATCTAAACAATCTAATAGGCAGCCTAAGTAGTGTCCAGAACTAATGCCAGTTAGGTAAGTTAAAATGGACATATGGCATAAACAAATCATCAAGCTACTTCCAAGATTGCAAGTAAAGATATCAACATCTTCATACATTTAGGACTTTAATCAGTATCTCTCTCTAAGGCAGAAATGGTTGGAAGTAATGTTGTATTTTAAGAATATTAAAATATAGCTTCGATAAATGTAATTTAATGAGAAAATAAAAATTTTATGGAACATATATACCAACAGCAGTTTTCCTCCCTGCTAGATATTACAGTTTCCTATGCACCCAATTTGTCACAACTGAAGCTCTTGCATTATGTTACGATGGAGGGATGTGAAGTTTCTCCAAAAGGTTAAACTTCCCAGCCAGACTGCAGATAACCAGCCACGGAATTCACCTGCTCAGTTTCTACTGTGGAAGAGTTCGGGGAGGATCAAACCAACAAAATCATGTGTTACGTTTGCAGGTGAATAGAAAACAAGAAAGCATTTGAAATTGCTAAGAATTCTGCTATATGAAACCATTCCCCAACTCAGCTATCATAGCTCGATATGCTTTTTTTTCTTAGTACTAATAAAGGCAGATATTGCTAGTTTTGAATTCACTTACATGTGAGCCAGCAGGTTCTATTTAAAGAGCTGACATTTAACTGTTTTACATCATTGTCTTTTGCTGGTAGCAGTGTCTTAAGTAACACAGAATACTAGAAACATTCCTATTTTAAGTTTAAATGACTTTGCTTTAAGAACTTTACTTGCCCACATACAAAGTGACCTTGGCCTAATAAGGTAATTATCTTTCTCATCGAGAGAAATCTTAATAGCCGTATAAAGTGTCCCTCTCTCTAAAATGCAGGCGATTACAAGTGCTGAAATTAATTTATTTAATGCTATAATGCTTTATCAATATGTTCATTACAGTGATACTAGGTGAAGGCTATAGGTTCTATGAAGGATTGCTCAGAGATGTTCAGTTCCACATCAGCAGTGCTTAACAACTTTAAATCCTCTCAAAAGCAGCTGATTTATGGTTGGAACAGAGTTGCCATCTCTTTCCTTTCATGCTATGGCTAAGCTGTTTTACACTGCAGTAATTCCCAAACATTAGGGAACATCAAGGTAGGGGCAAAAAAAAAACCCAAAGTGGGGGGAAACTCCTGTTCAGACATAACCCAACTTTATTCTTTCAGATAAAGGGAAAGGATTTTTGGTAAACTTTCACTTTTTTCAATACTTGAAAGTCAGATTATATGAAGGAACATGATTATTTCTGAACTAATTTGTTCTTCAGGAGAAATCAATTTTCAACTTCAAGATAAATGGACATGGAATTCCATAATACCATAAAGTTTATTTTAGAAGGACTAAGAGCCTTGCATGCAAATGCTGGACACTTTGTTCAGGCAACCCAAACCTTGATCACAAAGCTAAGGTATTTGTTGAGAAAATATGATCAGAAAACAAACAGTTCTCCTCTACCAAGCATACTAGAAATTAGCACTGTATGTTGAAACCTTAACCAACAAGTTGGTTTTAAAAGGTCTATTTGAAGTATATTTCAGGCAGGAAAAATGGCCCAATTTTATCACAAACATTCAAAACAGTAAGTTTTTGGATAAAATCTCTTTCATTGTGGGAAATGCATCCATGCAGTTGCATTCTAACTATCCCACAAAAAAGACTTCTGAATAATCTTGAATTAAAGATTCACAAAGATTTTTTAAAAATGTTGTTCCAAGTAGCTGAATAAATAGCTATGTAAGTAGATTGCAAAGTTGTTTTCTTACCTGCAGCAAACGCAGAACACATTACAAAGAACATTCCAACTGCAATCCTCTTCAGTGAGGATGGGAGCAAGCCGTTCCTCTTTAAAATGGGGTCCACCAGTTTATCTTTTAAGGGTATTAAGATCAGAATAAGCACTGCATCGAACATAGTCAACCAGGCTGCAGGAAACTGAAAAGATAGATCATTTAAGTTAGCAATTTCATACTTAAGGTTGATTTTTACTATTATTTAACAAGGAAAAAAAATTTTTCCCCAAAACACTGAGATGTTACACAAAGGCAAATTATACTGCACATAGTTCCAAGGAAAATGAGGAGTAAGAAATTACTGGGCCGATGAAGTGCGTACTCTGAGAACACAAAATGTAGAGCTCAGCAAAGATGTTTTGCAAGGGATTTTTTTTTAAGATGTCTGAGTTTCAGAGGGCTCATATTTTAGGTACTTACTCGGAATTAAGTTTTGTTAAAACCAAAGTTAACTATCTAACTAAAATTATATTAATTCCTTTTGAAAGATGAGATGGCCATTAGTATTACTGCAAAATCTGAGTTTTTCTGCTTACGTCCTGAAATATGTTTAATGGAAAAAATCACTGTCCTTTGGGAGCTTTTCTGCTAAGATTTTTTTAGTCCTAGAACACTTGTCTGAGGAATGACTGATTGTGCCACTCAAATCTAGTAAACAAAACTGCGCCGATTATTTGAACAAATACATCCCAAGATGCATTTTTTAAAGCATTCAAAGTCAGTATTAATGACACACAGGTCAGGAAGTGATTTAATGCAATTAAATAGTCCCTACTATTGTGCTTCAAGTGATACACTCTAGTCTGACAAGAATTAAATTTTTTTCCTACTTCAGTTATGAAAAGTATTTAATAGCCAGGTTCTGTAGATCTTCTATTATTAGGCTTAGAACTTTCAGAAACATGCCACAGAGCAGTAGAAATAGAGTTTTACTAATGTAATACAAAATTCAACTAAAATTAAATAACACTTGTCAAATGAAGAAAGAGTATTGTGTAATACATGCATCCTTTCTCATTTGCAAGATTCAGTAATTGACAATAAGATTCCTGTCTGTATGAATGAGACAATTTCTACCAAGCTTAATAATATTTAGCATCTGTTCTGAGCTAACAAACCAAGACAGTACAGGAAGATTGATAAAAGTATTCTGGTTTGGGGATATTTTTTAAAATTGCATTTAGAACAGTGTGATACTGTACTATGCATCACACTGACTCTTTCACCCAAAATACAAGCAGTGCTTGATCCGTCTGTTTCAGATGCAGATTCAGTTTTTGACACTGAACTGTTTCTCTGTGTGTGGAAACTCAGGGTTAGAACAGATGAATATTTTCTAGAGATTATCCAGGATGACCAAGGGGCCTGTGACAATGTAAAGCTACAGCCACAGTAACAGAGGAAGACAACCAGATTCCCTGGCTACAAATCTCAGCCAGTGCAACCATCTCAGTGACCCAAGCCCTCAGCCTCTAACACACCGTGGGCATGCACCTCTCATCGCAGATGAGAACGCTACTGCACTGAGTGGTTGAATCACTCCAGTATGGCTGAGATGATGACGAACTGCCAAAAAAAAAAGAGCAAAACGCGAACCTTTAGTTCTTCATAATCAAAGCAGGAGTTTGTACCAAGAGCACAAAGTCTTTGACTGACATCAAGTCATGTCCGTATTAGGTTTTGTCAAAATCTCCAACTAGCTTTAGCATATGTATGTGGCACATTTTTAGCACACTCTGCATGCCAACGTGTTGTAACAACAGTCATTAAAAATACTATTACTTTCTTGCTCTGCATTACAAATTTCATTGCAGTTCTCCCAAGAACCCAGGCAAATGCTTTCTGATTCATAGTGTGACAACCCCAAGAAGTTCTGATGATGATGGTAAAACTGAATTCATCCCAACCTCTCCTTAATGTCTCCCAGGCATTTCAAGATCATGGATTTGAAAATGGAATAATAAGCTGATTTGGCTATATGAAAATATTCAGTAGTTTGATACATAAGGTTACATGCATTGCTTAGCAATCTTCACGCACTTTGAAAAACGCACAGTGAATTCTGCTAAGCTAGTCAAATTCTTGCTTATTTTGAAATAGTTAGCAAAACTTTCAGACTGTCAATTTCCCTCCATCTCCCATTCACCTTCTCGTTTGCTTCAAATATCACACCAGCATTAACCTGTGTAACAGTTTGTACAAATACCGATTTCTGTAATTAGTCAAGGATGTAGAAATTTTCTGTCATTGCTGAATTTGGTATGAAAGATGAGAAATACCAAATGCCTCTGGCACTGCTGTATTTCATACAATCAATCACTTGCGGGTTTTTTTTTGTTTAAAATGTATGCTTTTCCATTTTCTACTCTATCAGGACCCTGCAAACTAAAAGGGCACGCGCATATTTCACTCTTTTCACATCAAGAGAAAATATGTCTTTATTAGTATTGGGCAGAGGTGCCTAGAAGAGCTTAAGGAAAACCTAGACCTGATGAGGTATAATCCTGCTCATGTAAAATGTTATATTACCGCCCCTTTTCTTAATTATCTCACATCAATTTGGAGAAACCAAAGTAGTCAGAATTGCTTTCAAAGATACTACCTACATAATGTAGACTACAGATCAGCATCCTTCAGGTCGGCCACATACCAAGGAAGACAGCAAAAATCAAATTAACTTATTTAACTTCTGCTGTTAGATCACAGCAAAATATTCAAAATAAAACAAGAACATCACAACTGATGCACTGCAGAAAAAGGAGCCAGTCACTGTTATGCAAGATAGAAAATCAGTATTTAGAAATATCAAGACAGACTGGGATCATTGTTCCATTATCCTTGCCTTAAATTCTGCATACTTTAAGGAAACACTAAAAACAGCTGACTAACTTCTAAAGCCACACTTGTAAGTTAGAAAAAGTGGCTACATGGCATGAGTGGTATTTTAAAGTCTTTTTAGCTAAAAAAACCAATGAAAGCCATTATTTTTTGAACTAATTTACTAACATAACACTCTGAATAACATAACAACTTGAAAACAATTCTAACACCCAAGAAGGTGTTAAGAAAAGCTCAGTTTGATAACCAAAGCTCCATGTTCATTTCTACACAATAAATATATGGACTGACAGTGGGACTGTGAAGTTCTGTGTGCACTTTGTTAGAAGAAAGAAAATTCACTTCTCTAATCCAACAACGACAATGTTCTAACAAGACAGTCACGTGGTTCATAACAACGGGGTGGGGGGGGAAGTCCACTCACATGTGAGCAATACAGAAATGTGAAAAGCTCATTGAAAAGAGCAAAATGGGTTACATATCAAAACTTAAATGTACTAACCCGTATTAAAGTAGAATTAGGTATATGTTATAAAAACAATCACCCTGAATGTAGTCCACAATTAAAACCAATGCAACTAAAACAGAAGCCTTGGACTAATTAGAATTTTTGAATAAGAAAATATTTTTAAATGAACATGCAACTCAAACACCATAAAACTGAACCTTAGAGTGAAAGTGGCAATGGCTTTCCGTGCCCAAAATCTATGCAAAATCCCCCCCCCCAAAAAAAACACAAATTGAGAACTTAGTTGAGGAAATTTCCTTTGCATGCTTGTATTGATGGCATGCACTTAACTGAAGAAATCTCAGACTATGTTTTTTTAACTGTGCAAAGGTAAGTAAGTTAAAAGAAAAATTAAATACAACATTTATTTTTGCTCTGTAAAAAAAAAGCTGAAGAAATTCTCTTGATATTAATTTTAAATAAAAGAGAAGAAACTTAATTTTAAAAGAACATTTAGTAAGGCTGTTAATAACTTACATTCCTACTTTTTGTTTTTATTTCTCAGTACCGTTTCTGCAATTACGTGATGCCAGCCTTCCTTGAAAAATATTGATTGAACAACTTCCTTCAATATGCTAAACTGATTCAAGGTAAAATGAATATTGATTAAGCAGTATGAAGTTACAAATGTATCTCAGGCTCCAAACCTGCAAATACTAATGTTTCAGTTAAGTATGGGTATTCCTACTGCGTTTGCAGGAATGCTTCTGTACTACTTAAAACTTTGAAAACTTGGGACATATAGATTTATAAGCTTTCTTCAAAGTTCACACTTTGTCTGCTGAAGGATAAAGACACTGTTAATTAAAGCAGTGAAAATTATCTGAATACATTCAAAACAGGATAGTGTGCACTCCGTATACCGGTAGATATGTCTAAATTTCTGTATTATGCACCATGATTCTAAATACCTAATGTCCATGGCCAACAACTCGCTTTAGCCACTACCTTAGCCTTCTGGAATTTGTGTACAATACTTACCTATTTTGCATTTCAGCTGAAGAAAACATATTTTTCACTTGCTTTGCCCTACTTACCGTATGAATAGAATTGGTGTCATTTGGTATTTCAGGAATTTTCAGATGGAGACTTTGCAATACATATGTTGTCTGCATCTAGCATTAGGAAAGATGAGTTGAGATTACTTGGACAAGGAGTACTGAGAGCAAGGTACTTTTATGTTTTTAATAATTAACAAAGATTATACCAGAGGTAAAGTGCTAATATACCCAAACAAAAAGAATTATTGTTAAAATAGCTTGCCATGTTCTAACCCCTACATTTAATTTTACTAAAAGCACAAAGAAAAATTCACGTGACTTTAAAAACAATTTCTGTGTTTTTTCCCCCCAAATATATTTGCCATCCTAATTCATCTCACTAAGACATAAGAACCAAAAGGAATTAATTAAAATGAAATCTAGACCACTTAACCTATCTGAATCAACTGCAAGATGAAACAGAGCACAATATTTAAGATATGTTAATTTGTACAACTGTTAGTTTTAACTATCATTTTAATGACTTTATTTTCTTTTTATTATTAAGTCAAAATATTATTTGACAGTATTCTTAGTAGCCATTTTTCATCTCTCAACTTCAGGATAAGTTTCATACTTATGAAAGAGCCCCCAGAAAAATGTGAAATTAGATACTTTGGTGTACTGGTAAGCTAACACAGCGTTCCACAACAATTCTATCTAGGAAATAAAAAAAAAAAATCAGAAGAAGCTATACCACCATGCAATACTATTTTTTCTAACAAAACATTATTAAAATTATTTTTAATCCCAAGTGTGTGAAAGAAAAGTAGTTAACATTATTGAACACATGGGTATTAAACAAGTGAAACAGCCAATACCAGAGTTCTGAAAAATCCTCTTCAATATTATTCTTCTCTAGAATCACAGCTACTGAAAGCTAACTGTAAGTAAACCTTATAGAACAGTTTCCCTATAAAAGCTTTTGTGTGTTTCCTCCAGGCAACCGCTCTGGGGGATAATATTCAGAGCGGAGTTAGATTTACAGCACAGCCTCAGAACTGCAACTTGAAGCTAGTGCCCCAAGACCTTTCAAATGCAGCTGGGAGAAGAGGAAGTTAGGGTCCTTACATTAGTAATTACGTTTTTTAGAAACATAAAATAAATCATGTGGAACTACTCACTTGAAAGTACACTGTCCAGTAAGGTATTAAAGCCAAAAAGACAGGGATAATCTTGACGAGAGCTTTCACATCTTCTACTTTATCTTCACTGAATGGGCCCCCACGAGACAGCTTGGCCATCTCAAAGAGGCTTTGTTTGCGAGGTTGCTGAAGTACTCCCTGGCCTTCGCTTTTGAAAGGAATTTGAAATGTTCAGTTAAACAACAACAAAAAAATTACTTAACTGGCAATCTTGTGTCACTTCTTTCCACTATAAACAGCTTGTGCATTTCCAAAATAAGTTACTCTTAACAGCAAAACAATTAGGCCAGAATGGATCATCAGCAGGTGAAAACACAAGCTGAGAACTTCCATTATAAAGATTTCCTTATTTCCCATCCTCTCTCCACCATGCATAAATAACTGGCACTGCAATATGCAGAACTTCATAAACAGTATCAGAAAATCTAGGTTATTTTAATTCATGGAATTGTTTTGCAATCTGAATACATGAAAGCCCATTGCAGAGGAGGCACCTGACATCTCTTATCACCCGTGACTAAATTTGGCCACCAGTATTCCATGGGCATCTCTTCAGAGTGGAGTTACCACTTGGAAAGCAAAAAGCCAGTACATATTTTTGGCTGCTCATCAAGCCACTTACAACATTAAAAGCAGATGATACTGTTTTTCAAATCAGAAGGCATCCTGTAAACATATCTAAGCAGAGAAGAAAGTTAGCTAATGATTAAAAACAGCATACTTAGGCTACGTTACACTTTCAAAAACTCTGAACTGGCAAGACACAGCATTCAATTGAAAACAGCAGACTTGATCTTGCAGCATGGAGATGCAGTGATCTCAAAATGTCCCTCTCTTCCATCCCAGAACTCCCAGAAAACATCTCCAGGACTCCAATTTTCCAGTTCTCAAAGCAAAACTGCATATTCTAGTGTATTCTCTGGTGCAACTTGCTGCCAGCTAGTTTGAACTAACTAGTTCCAACTCTTAGGCTGATTCACTGAATTCAGACTGTACAAAAGAGCTCATTACAAACCTATTAGTTGAACGGTCCACATGCCTCTTTCTTGAGCAACAAGAATATGCGAGAATTTTAAACATGTCTGTGAAGGCACTACCATCAGGTGGTTTTGTGATGAAGAAACTCTGACCACATAAGAAAACCATGAATGAAATCCCAATGCAAACTGTTGGGATACTATATCCAATAACAAAGCTCACATTCTGTTGAATATATGCAATTCCTCCCAGAGAGAGAATAGCTCCCAAATTAATGCTCCAATAAAACCAATTAAAAAATCTTCTTGTGGCTTCTGGACCCCGATCTTTGACCTGGAAAAGATTAAAAAAAAGCCATTCAATTTCTGAAGAAAATGAAGTCTGTACATTAGAATTCAATCAAGTTCAATGCACTGAAGAGTTTAGGTTTCATTTAAAGTCATACTGAAATGATTCAGGTGGTTTGGGCTTAGCATGGTATTTGACAAAATGACACCTTACTGAGCTACCCTATCAGATCTGTGACCTTCTAGAAGTTCAGCATAGGGACAAAAAAGTCACACAATACTAAACTACATAGCTTCCCCACAGAGGCCGTTATTGTTTCTACTGCACTGTCTCTCATTTGCTCATTTCTCTAGACTAAGCTCACTCAGATTAGTGTCCCATAGTCCACACAGAAGTTGAAATAACTAATTTTTTTAGTAAAAAAAAAAAGTTACGCTACCTAAAAATTCATGTATTAATAGTATCACAATTGCATCTTCTAACTGTATACACATAACAATTAACCATATTCCATTTTCTAAGCCTTAAAGGACTACTTGGTAATTGAAGCACAAATCTAAATTTGAACACAGTCCTAATGCCTCTCACCAGAACATAAATTAAAGACTTGCCATTTTGACCTTTAAAAAACTTAAATTTGGGTTGCCAGAGGTGTCACAAGGCCCCAGTAAACATTTATTCCTCTATCAAGTCAGTGCTGCTCACGGTGCTATTTTTCTGCTTGAAGCTCTCAGTGTCTCTCCAGTGAAAGTAAAGACATCCCTGGTGTATAGAGCTATCCTGTACAGTTTTTGCCATCACTCTTTATTCTGTATTGCCTACCATAAGTCACCCCATGTTTTGTAATTAAGTCACAGGAACCCAGCATCACTCTTAAGATGCAAGGGAAATTATGCAAGTTAAAATCTGAAATACATTAAAAAGATCAACTAGTCTGTAGATGAATCCATAATACTGTATTTGTCACTGTTTTATGACTGAAAGGCCATTAACAGGGACTAGCAAGTCAGTGTCATGCACCAGTCTTGCTGAGTCAGTTGTTTTTGATTTCTAATTGCAAGTTTCCCTTCCTCATTTGCAAGACCTTCAGAAGATCTGTGTTTAGTTTGCAATATAAAAAGCAAGCTATGTCCTGAAATAGGTTTTTAACACTGCTAGTTCTGATTTACAGCTTCAGCTTTCTCAGTGGTGCACAAACCCATCTGTATCACTTAACCAAGCTTAACAAAAGAAATATTAAGGCACCTATTTCTATGCATAGTTAAGAGCACTGTTAGGCATTCAAGTAGGTCTGTTAGCATGTCAAATACAATCTCGGAGCCTAAACCTGAGAAATTCTCCCCTTCCAGTTTCAACTTGGTAACCTTTTTCTAATTTTAATAGTCATCACCTGCAGTAGTGTAACAAGCTAGGAATTCCTTCTAAATCCCAAATGGCAGCAGGATATTAGCAAACAATTACATTGTAAACACAGTGCTCCAACATATGTAAAGAGTTAGCAATCTATTTTATGAAGTTTCTACTTCTTCGTCATAAAGTCTCAGCTCTCTTCTACTTTCTGCAAGGAAGATGACTTCCCATCCTCCCTCTAACAAATGATCTTGCTCACATCTATGCAAGAAAAGCTGGGAGATGAAAGCCAACTTTGATACAGGGAAGAACAGGGCAAGCACATCATGATGCTTCTATGAAGTACTGTCCCAACCTCCAAACATTAGCCCCTGAGAAACTTTCTGAACCAAGGATGGCTTCTATCTACTTAATAAGTGCAACAGATCTCCTCTCCATGTACTTGCCCAGCCTGCCTCTGAACCCAGGTCAGCTTTTAGAATCCATAATATCCTGTGGCAAAGAGTTCCCCAGCTAATTATGCAGCAGGAAGAACCATCTCCATTTGTCTGTTTTGAACCTGCCCTGTACTACTCACTCATTTTACCCAGTTCCAGGAAACAACAGAAAACAGCTGACCTTTATCCCATCCCCAGTCCAATTCTGCCTCTCTCTCCCCCTGACCATCGTTTCCACAAACCATTTCCTTCTAGCTGCCTTTTCAGGGATAGAAAGTTGTACACTGTTTCATAATTCCCTACATGGAAACTACCAATCCTGTCTGTGGCCCTTCCCTGAAACTTCCTTCTCCGTCTCCAGTATCCTTTTTGAATCTATTTTCTGCTTCCTTATTAAAATATACATACACACTAAAAACCACATCACAGCTATGTCTGAAATGCCACTATGGCATTTTATTGACAAACATTAATAACTTCCTAAAGATTCCACCAGCTAGTTCAGTGTGATAGCTTGTCAAAAGTGGAAGAACTATGAAGATGTCTTACCACAACCAGAAAACATGGTAGAGTTAAAAGGCAATCCTTACAGTTACTTTCAAGCATCACATTGACTGCCCAGAATATTAGCTACCTTACACTTACAGCGGACTACTCAAAGTTTCCCCCTGATGGCTATTACTTCAGCTGTGTAACAGCACAAAATAGATCAGTTTATTCTCTTCATAAGTAGATGCTACATTTTATTCAGGGACCAAGAAGAAGAAAACCATGTTAGAATTTTATTATTTTATTTTTAGCAAGGAGAAGTATTTATCACAAAATTGCAGGAATTCTCCTTTTCCCCTTACATTTGCATTATTTTCAATCACCCAAGCAGAATGAAAAACCTATCACTCCCACTGCTCAATTTCATCTGTGCTCAAGCATAGCAGCACCCTCCTTGTGGTGCCAGCACCATCAGCTCCATTATACTCTTAACATCCTACCAGCAACTGCAGCAGGAAAGGGATGCACGTAAACCACACAAGTATGATGTGGATCCTGGATCGAACCTGTCCTGCGGGCTAAGGGTTCCACACGCCTGCACTGAAAGTCAAAATAGGTATGTTTAAAAGATTTTGTTTCCATCAGAACAAAACAGCTTAAAAAAAGTAGTGGCACTTAAAAGGTAGGAGAAAGGTCACCTGCTTAGATTTACCAAGTTTTAGTCAAGCTCCTTACAATAGGAAAACACAAACAGTATCAGTGAAATGCCACAGCTAGAGTGCAAGGCTTCCTATCACTGGACTAAAACGTTGTAGTAAAACCGTTTCAAAGGTGCCCTGACTCAAATGAACATGAGCAAGTATCTAATACACACCATTTATTTGCTCTAGGTAACATGCTGGTTTGCAAATGAGCTCAGAGTCAAGACATTTTCCACAGAATTTACCAGTGCTGGACAGCTGTCACTTATTTAGATCAACTCCCATTGCATAAATATCCAATCCCAAGTCGCCAGTTCACTGTTCTGCATTCTTCAAACCTTCCACAGCTTTTTTTCCTACTAAATGGGATAGCACATCATTCTCCAAGAACACTAAGAAACAATCCAGTAGCGCTTCTCCTTCAATAAAAATACCGAATGACCTACTGTACTGTACAAGGAGCATCCCAATTGCCCTAAATGCTCCTCTATTAAACTATAGGGCAGATTTTAATTGAAAAAAAAAAAAACCTCAAACAAAAAAAACAGCCCCCCCCCCAATAAAAAAAAAAAACAAACCAACTTTTGCACAAGCTAATGCTTCCAAAAAAAACCCCCCCCCCCACCAACTAAACAAAAAAACGACACCAAAAAACCCCACCAACAAAGACATGAAGGAAATGAGCAACTCTAAGCGTTCTGGCCACAGCTGCTTTGTCAGTCATTGGCCACATGTCAATGCTGACATTTCAGGTGGGCCTCTAAAGAGGAAATAAAATCATCTTGCTACTTTCAAGACATCTAACATAACTTTTGCAAAAGAAAATCTAACCTAACACTTGATTTTTTTATAGTCCAAAAGGTGTTTTTCTTGATATAGCTATCCTTTACGTATAGTTAACCCAAACGCAGAAAGAACAGCACAGTGACGCTCTGAGTTTTATAACTGGGACCTACACAGCATTTGATTTCAAAATATTAAAGGAATAGTTTTCAAAATCAAAATTTCTAATACAAAACACATCAGACTGATTATGGTCAGATGAGATGTGGTTACGACCACAGTTTTCAAGATAAAGAATCCTGAGTGCCTGGAACACATTATGGGAATTGTGTAATTGTTAGATTATTTACAGCCACTTTCAGCAGAGGACACCTCATCTGTGTAACTCGGCACTGCAGTACTCTAAGCTCATTTAGGATATAAGTTTAACATCTTACAATCAGAACAAAATTTTAAATGCAACTAAAACAAAGAAAGAGTAACTAGATCTTTAGTTAGAACAGTTGATGAAAAGTCATTAAAAATATCTGACCAACAGCAGCTTCCACAGCACAGCTGTCCTTAAGGTTAATACTTCGTTAGACCTCATTCTGACTTAGAAGAAAGATGATCACTTGCTGAATTATCCCTCCCCTGGCTTTTTCAACACCAACGTCTTTTGCAGGAGATGTTCCAAGTACTAACCAAAGCAGCTCGTACAGCTTGAAACCAAAAATCTCACACAGCTCAAATATTAAGATTCCATCAGATTCTCCTGATATTTTTGTAAAGAGCCAGGAATCTATACAAGCATCGTTGCTTCTCCATAGTTTCTGTGTTTAGATGCTTTGCTTTGTCACAAAGTAATTTCCTAGCTCTCTGCAGCTAGGTTAGTTTCAAAGAAATGGTTATCCACAGGATTTCTTGGTGGTCTTGCCGCAGCTAGTGCCTATCTGGTGTCTACCATTCCACCGTGACATCTGATTGCCAACATCATCTGCCAATGCTCTCAAGTATTTCCTAGACCCCAACGTTTCAGAGTTCTGGTATGTCATAAACTTCCCTCTCTCCGTCTTCACATCATGACAGATCCAAAGCTATGACCTCTTATTTGACTCATACAAAAGGAAAAAGATTATTTAAAAGTTACTGACATTAGCAGTTTTCATTTGTTCCTGCAATCGACTGACAGTCACAAGTGACAAATGTAACAAAAACCCCCAAACTTCTCCCAGCCAGCTATGTGAGCAGTCACACAACAGAGCAAAGATGAAAACGCAGAGGCTTGCCTTTGTCCTTAGCCTACAAAAGAAAGAGCAATGACAACAGTTTTCCACAGACAAATTTACTCTTACAGAATTCTGACCTTCTAATCCACCACTACAGCCATCAGTTGATCTCTGAGAGCTTCACAACAGAGCTACACAGTACTACTCAGTTGCTACATAATTTCAAATTTTTATACTAAAATTTGGCAAGTCCACTTTTAAAGTCTGCTTTCTCTCACTAGTGTCATATCTATTCTGTTTCTGTCGGAAACAGAAACAAATTAGTACAGCCCACGTGAATGCCACAACTTCAGTTTTCAAACTGTTACCTGCAGAATCTTAGACGTCCACAGTCCCCTAAGATGTTCAACAACAACAACAGAAAAGTAATTTGCAGTTAGTGATCTTCAATTCTTTACGCATGGTCCCTCATCCTTCCTCAGAGGCTGGAAAATCTAAGTTCTACAAATAAATAACTAAAGGTTGAAAAATCACTCTAAAGCCATCTTTACACTAGCAGTTTCCAACAGCGTCCCGCCTCTGGCGATGCTACTGTAGCAACAATGGTTTTAGCAAAGCTAGAAGATTCTTGCCAGGTTATGGACTGATAGATTTAATGACTATGATGTCGACTCAGAAAGAAGATACGCTGTGGGTTAAAACTAGCATCTCTAATCACCATAACCCCAAAACAGATTCATCTATAATTAGAACAATGATTATAGCTGATACTAGCTCAGTAGTCTACTACTAGTGTTGGCTTCAGTGCTGAAGCTAAACCATCTTTCACAATAACGAGGGATGGTCATATTGTTTCCTAACTGCAGAAAGTCACCAACTGCTACATAGAACAGGAAGTGACTACAAAATAAGTGGCTGCACTTAAAAGGGGAACTGGAAAGTGCCAGGTTATGCATATCACATGATTATAAACACTATTCTGAGAACCATCAGTTCACATTTAGACCTGTATGATGGATCAGTCTGCAACTTCTAGAAAAATGGTTCTTATTTATAAACACAGTTAAGTAAAGCTGGTCTATACCTAGTTTGCAGTAACTTTTTTTGCAAAGCTGACTGGCAAAAGTTACTCTATACTAAGTCTACTTATTCAATTGTAACAGCACTTCTGAAAGCATCCATTTAACAGAAATTAAGAAACTACATCTTTTTAACTTCAGAGGAAAATAAGCATTAGAATTTAGTTTCCCATTTTCCACAAAGTGATTCTTTTCTTCTAAATAAAAAAATCCTCATCATATTTGAGTTCACCCAAATTATACATCATCTGTTAAAACTGAAAAATTTACATGGTAATTTTTAGGCAATCTGCAACGAAATGTAATTACCAATATTTGAAAGGCGGTTCATGTCAGCTTAAAGTACACAATATACAATTCCTATTTTCCTTTGTTTGGTATTAAAGGGAAATTTTTTTTTGGGAAAGAGGACAAATCTTATCAGCACTCCTCCAGCCAAAACACGTTTGAATTGTATTCTGGCCTCCCAAGAATCTGACTCTGGGAGGCAGACTTTATTCTCAGCAATATATATCCATTTACCCAGCAGTCTGCTACATTCCTATGCAGGGAGAAGGCACCCAAGAGGGCCAAAAACTGCACGACAAGGTAAGTGGTATGCTGTAATATATTTAACAATAGATAAGCCTGAAAAACAGAGAAACGGAAAAATTCAGTTCTCAGCAGAGCTCTACTGATTATTATGAACCAGAAAGGAGTATTTCTTTTGCTTCACCCTACATAAATCACTGTGAATTATCTGCAAACCTAGCCAAAAACTGCTTTCCATGAAATCCTGGGGGGAAAACCTTTAAAAAATCCAGCTACAACAGCTACACTTCCATTGGCAATGGTTCTTCTTTTGCTCTGTCCCTGCTGTTATTTATCTCTTACATTTAACGTTCATAGTGTTCTGGGGATAAGCAGTCAGTTTTGAAAAACACCTTACAAGATAAAGTCATATTAAAGCTATTTCACTTGATGGGCTCATGCAGGCTTAAACAGAACCAATACACTGGGGACACACAATCCTAGGCTATAATAATGTTTTACATTTATATACTGCCTTTCACCCAGAACCCCAGAATTTATAATATATGGAATGACAAATGTAAACGGCACAACAGAGAACAGAGGTATGTTTGCCAAAGATAACGTGGTACCTCCTACCTCTCACAAAGAATTTCATGGCATTTCTGACACCTGCACTAACTGGAACTCAATGGGCCAGTAAACAGACATGTGACTGGATCAGAGGTATTCTCCTTGCTTTGTCATCAAGAATGGTTTAGTCTTGTATCTAAGCATCTGAAATTCTCAATTTGTAAAGCAGAAATTATACTCCAATTCAACATCCACAGTCAGCATACTACCTTAGCATAAGATTGTTAAAAAAATACATGCAACAGCACATTTCAGTTGATATTGAACTATGAGCTGTCTCTCAGATATTTTCAGTAAAGCCGCTTGGTTCTGCAGTGATGATCCAATGAATGATATCACCGAAGTGGATCTGAATAAGGTCATTTGGCAGGACATGTCCTCACGAGAACAGCCCAGGTAATATGTTCACCATGTTCAGAGTACCTTCCCATCCATCATCTGGCGCAACACTAGCCTGCACAAAATCAGCACTCAAGGGCACAGTGCAGTACAGAGAGAATACGTAAAGCATAAAAAACTGTTTGTTCTCTAGCCTTCATTTATCACAGGATGATAAAGGCCTCTAACCACTGCCCTAGAAGGCCCATGCTATCCTTGTCAAAGATAAAATGTACATCAGGTATTTCACCTGATGAGCTCTGAGGTCAAATTGACTCGGTATAAACTCCACAATGAAGGATAATTAACAATCCACTTAACAGCCATTAAGTATTCAACCCAACTCCTCAAGATGGTGATGGCTTAGCCAAATCAGGCACCACACATAAGGCAGGGCTACCCGGAAACCAAGGGTCATAAGAGATCAGACGCCACACAGACATCAAAATTACATCTAACAGGGTACAACTTAACACCTTGCATTACACAGGGAACAAAGCTGGATGACCTGAGACTCAACACCTACAGAGATGCGAATCAGCAGACGTGCTGTCCACCCCCCCCAAGGCAAGCCCCTCCGCATGACTGACAGCCATCCCCTGCTTCAGATCGGCACCCACGAACAATTTGGCAGCTGCTAAACAATACTTGACCTGGTCCGCCCCAAAAGGGGTGATGTTGGCCTTGACTGACCCGACGCCCAGCCCCACGAGGACCAGTCCGATGAAGGTGGCGGTGGCACAGTAGCGGGTGGCTCCCGCCTGGGAGCAAGGTGCCAGGGTGGCGTTGGCTGCCGGAGAGGAGCAGTTCTCTATGGGGAACAAGGGCATGTCCCCGCAGAGGCCCTGGCGGGTGTGCGGCGCAGCGATGACGGGGAAGGCCAGCATGCCCAGCAGGTAGAGCGCCATGCTGAGAAGGATGGTGCCAAACTTGCCCAGGAGGGCGTCAGCCAGCCAGCCGCCGAAAGGCGACACCAGGTAGGTGATGCCCATGAAGAGCAGCAGGGCCTGGCTGGCCTGGGCACCCTCCCAGCTGTAGGGAGGCCCGTTGAGGAACAGCACCAGATTGGAGGTGATGCTGTAGAAGGCCACTCGCTCCAGCAGCTCGGCCAGCAGCACGGCGGCGCAA